TTAGATTTTTGTTGTGTTTGTATTTTAAATAATACCCTGTTGTGTTGTAATGTTTTTATTCAAAATTTTAAATGTATTTTTTAATATTTTTAACATGTTTGTGACAGTGTTCTTCACCTCTAGGACCAACTGAACATTTTCAATGTAGGTTTTATATGTTAATTTCCACCACTTGTACTAAAATAGGTTTTTCATTTAGGTGCTGATGAAGGTGACAACATATCACCGAAAATTTCACATTTAGAATAAAGTTCTACACCAAACTGGCTCATACCATCTCTAGCTGATCCTTGTTTTGACGCTTTCCCGAAAGTTATCCTCCAAAGAATTGTATTCTTAGCGTCGTTACACAAACTCTATTTATATATATATATATATATATATATATATATATATATATATATATATATATATATATATATATATATATATATATATATATATATATATATATATATAAAACTGTTTTTGATGGGTTGGAGTCAACAAAAGGGGCTATTTGTTGACTATTTTTTACTCGAGCTTTCAATTGTGATTACAATTTTTATCAAGAGCTTCTAAAAAATACAAAATATCTTACAAAGTTGAACTAGAAATAAAAAATTTTTTTTGTTAACTCACCAAATAAAATTAGTTTTTTATATAAAACTATTGCTTAAATATTTAATACAAAAAATATTAATAAAAAAATGTCTTATTCTAATAAATGTTTTATTAAAATAAAAAATTTTATAACTTCATCAAAATTTTTCAGAGAAACATTTATTAGAATAAGACATTTTTTTTTATTAATATTTTTTTGTATTTAATATGTAAGCAGTAGTTTTATATAAAAAACTAATTTTATTTGGTGAGTTAACAAAAAAATTTTTTATTTCTAGTTCAACTTTGTAAGATATTTTGTATTTTTTAGAAGCTCTTGATAAAAATTGTAATCACAATTGAAAGCTCGAGTAAAAAATAGTCAACAAATAGCCCCTTTTATTGACTCCAACAAATCAAAAACAGTTTTATATTTTTTCCAAACGAGTCATAAGTACTTCGTTTTTCTTACTCATATATATATATATATATATATATATATATATATATATATATATATATATATATATTATACATATATATATATATATATATATATATATATATATATATATATATATATATATATATATATATATATATTATATATATAGATATATATGAAAGTTATCCTTTTATGTTTATCACATCTAGGACAAGGTAAAAATTTAATAGCAGATATTTGAAGCTAATATAAGACCTCGTATTTAAATGACTTTATTTAAGACTGCTAGTATGGTGAAAAAAATTAATAAAATAAGTTTAGTAAATTGAAAATCTACAGGCTATATGTAGATCACTGCAGATCACTAACTTCCCGTTCCTTAGAACACACTAAAAAAGAGAACACTTCCACCTTCTCACAACACCTTGCACAACATAAACATACCCTCAACATCCCAGAAGAAGTCTAAGAAGTCTCTTTGTTACATAATATCCCTCAAAAATTTTTTCTAAAATTAGATCTATATGAAGACTTGGAAATAGTCAAAGAAAAGCAAATTAGTTTCCAGCTGTTCTGCGTGTGTAGAGGTTTACTCTCCGGCTCTGGAACGCACTTCAGCAATGTATGTTACCTGAAGTCATACTTAATTAAATACTGAACATCACAGTTTTTTAACAACAAAATGTATAATCTTTTACAACTATATGTAATCTAAAGGGTTTTTACCCATGTATTTTGGTGGCTCAGGCATTTTAACCTAGTAAGTATAGTCATTTTTGCTTTTTAACCATAGTCAAAATTTCATAACCACGTTTGTTTTAACTAAATGGTTTATACTTATTTTATGCAATTTTAAAATTTAAACCTGATGATGGACTGTTTAGTTCGAAAACGTTTGTTTTTTTGATGTGGCCCTTTTAAGGGTTTTTAAATAAATATACCCACTTACGAAGACTAACCTCTTTTTTGCGATACGTGGTATACAGCCAGCTACAGGAATTGTTTTCCTTGTAGATTTTGTTGTACTCTATGTTCTTATGTCTTAAATAGCACAGGAAAAATAATAGAATAATTCTTTCTACAGGGTGTTTAGAAATAAGATACCCACACAATTGTGTAGGTTGGAGTTTATTTTACTAAAACTCTATAAAATATTAATACATTAGAATACATAATATTTGGTATGAAATTTACTAAAACAGTTTTGGTCTATGTTGAGACATGGGTAAACAACACATTTAAGACATCTAACACGGGTTCTGCTTTTACAACCCGACCTTCTGCAAAATATTGCTGTAGTTAAGTGGTCAATATTGGTAACCATCTAACCTTTTTTCTTCAGCTGGTTGTGAAGCTTAATAATGTGGCCTGATTTGTGTTTTGTCTTGTGTTTCTTCTTCCTCAACCTGTTCTTTCACTTCTTAATTTGATCTTTTTCTTCTAGGTGACGCTAATAAACTTTTGCCGACTTCCATTCTAAATGTAAGATCTCGTATTTAAGATTTTGGAATATTATTTGACCGGCAATCTTCGCGGTATTCTATCCAAGCATTTACTACGGCTAAATCTAAAAATGAAGTATGACTTTTAATGTCCACTTTCTGGTTTTTATTCAGGTTTTATAATATTCAAGTTGCTGGTTGCAGATGTCTACTCCACTCGTATTAATATTGTAAGTTCTTACAATTTCAGGGCATTTGACGTCTACATATCGTTTTCTGTCTTACACCACCTTCTGACACTTTGTTCTGGTTCAATACCTGACGCATTTGACACTATAGTAACGGATTTGGTATCCCCCCACTTAACAGCAACCATTTTTTGTTCACTGTAATAAAACTGTTCACTGTCTTCTCTTCCAAATTTCTTATCTGGTGAGAAATTCAATATGGAAATTTGGTTGTTCATGACAGTACCAGTTCCATAAAACTTTAGTTCATTTAGCCGAGAAATTAGATTACAGGTTGTAAAATATCTATCAAAATATAAGAAACTTCTCTGAGGCAAAGATTAACACAGTTTTAAAATAACTGCTGGTCCAAGTCCATACTTTATATCTGGCAGAGGAGTCAATCGTCCTTGATATATTTCAAAATCTAAGACTATTCCAGTGGATGTAGCAACAACGAAATTTTTCAAGCCTGTGTGCCTTGGTTTTCCCTTTACATATTGACGTAAATGACAACGGACGGTAAAGGGAATCATTTGCCCATCAATACTGTAGTTATTAACTGATCTTTTTTAAAGACATGCATTTCTCACACATTCGATAACGGGTTGAACTTTCCATAACTTATTTTTAGTGTGATCATCTGGTGGCTTCTCTATATCAACAAAGTGAAGACACGTTCTAAGCAAGGTAAAACGATCCCTGGGCAAAACATCAGTAAAACTCTGTAATCTTAATCCCATTTTCTAGTACCAGTGCAAACGTGGATAAGGTATACATCCGAAAACAAGATAGGCACCATAGAGTTTCATTATTTCAGATGGTGGTGTATTAAGTTCTGTACCTTTCTTAGACAAACAATGCATATTTGTGTACGTAGCTGCCTGCTGGAAATGGCTATCTGGAAAATACTTCTTAAAATAGTGCATTGGACTCTGACCAATTACATCTGTTCGATTACCCAGGTAAAAAATCTTTTTTACCTGGTTTATTCTCGATGCCCTGAAATGAACGTTTGCTCCACCGAAATGGAGGCTTTTTGTTTTAGAACTACGGTTTCCAGTGGTTTGTGGTTGACCAAATATGAGAGCTGCATTTACACCGGAAGGACCAGGAGCCTCAACGTCATTTTGTGAACAAGGGTTTTTGTTGTGAATTAACAACAACTTTTCCTTCTTGGTCAGAATCCGAGGATTCGCTGTCTCTGAGGCTTTTGCGAAGGCTATTTGGCTTAATACTCTACACCGGGTCAGAATCTGAGTCATCACTAAAGCCTTCTAGTTCTGAATCTTCATAAATAATGTTCATTGCCACTTCGATATTTTCTGGTTTGTTAAAGACAAAATCTGCAAAAAAAGAGAACAATAATGATAACCCAGCCCACACAATTGTGTTGATAGTAATGTAATTGGATATTTTAAGATTTTTAATATCACTTTTTAAAATGTGTATGTGTAGGTGCTTTCTATACAGATGTATTAGTAATCTACATGCATTTACATTTTATTATTGACATTTTTTAATAACAAACATCTGCGAGAGCTTTTTCCGATTGTGTGCTTTTATATTCTTTTACCCGTTGACAAAACCACGGTTTGGGGTGGTTTATCGCTCTTGTGTTTATGTTCCACTTTCCAATGCTTTCCAATCCTTTGCTGATTTTTTGCCAAGTATCCTCTACTCCCCATTCTGGTTGTAACTCGATCTCTTTTATTTTGCTAGTAATTCTGTTCTCATAAATGAGTTTTGTACTTTCTGTTGCTAGCGACTCTATATTGTGTTTTTTGATAAGCATTGGGGCTTTTTTGTTTCGTTGCGGACGTTCTAGTAACATCTTGCATAAAACAAGGTTGTGATTGGCTCCCAGGTTAGCAGATGTTACGGCTCTGACATCAAGTACTTGTGGCGGTGTTATTACTTGATTTGTGATTATAAATTAATTACTGTTAAAATTGCATTTATGTTGGTCTTTATGAGGAAGGTATGTGTTGTTGATTCTCATTTCATTTCTAGCGCAAAAGTCTATTAGTTCTTCGCCGTTTTCATTAATTATTTTTTCGTTGTACTTTTGTTCTATACACTATATGACAGAAAACAAAAGACCTGACAAAAAATCCGATGGAAATAATTTTTCCGAATGAATCTAAGCTCTTCACATTGTCTAAAATACCTACTTCGGTAAAGCGGTCCCCAACTTGTTAAAATATCTAGGTTATTTAACACCCTTATTAATAAATTTATCCATTAAGTACCATAAATAAGTTATTGATTTTAGTATTAATATTTGTAATTTATAAATTTTAGGATACAAAAATTTGGACAGGCATGTGGGATTTGATTTGGCTACATCTAAACTGATTTTGAAAGACCTTGCAATGTTCCATGCAGTACCACTGGCAATTAGATTATTGGAACCTGAGGAATTTACGAGATTAACTAAAAAAATATCTATTTCATTGCCACCAAAAAGGGAAGATAAAAAACCACCGACGATTTTTAAAATAATGATAGAAACATTAAGTGCAAATGATGAATATAAAAAAGCAGCTGACAAGTTAACGAAAATGTTAACTAATTTTTCGAAAGCAATGGAGAACGATCCGAAAAAGTTATTTAATAAAGATGATATGAGAACATTTTCAACAATAGTACATCAAGATGTGTGGATCAATAATACGATGCAACTTATCGAGAACGATGTAGCAGTTAAAAATAAATTTGTTGATTTTCAAATGTGCCAACTCGGTTTGCCTGCTGATGATTTAATTTTTTTTCTTTTTAGCAGTGTCGAATATAATTGTCTCAAAAATAATCTTAATAACCTAATTAAATATTACTATGAAGAGTTTATATGCATATTAAAACAGCTGGGTATATATACTGACGATTTCTCATACGAGAAATTTTTGGAAGAATTTAGAGCACCAGGAAAATTGGCAATTGTACGGACTTTATTCATGCTACCGAAAGTTATTTTTGGAGAGAAAGGAAAGGCATCTGCCCACGGCAAATTGGATGAGATGACAGTTGAAGATATACATCCAATTGCACTAAAAAAGATGATTTTATTATGCGTAGAAGCTGCTGAAAGGGACTGGATGTAATTTTATTGTGTTTTTTGTTGTAATAAAGTAATTCAAATATATCTTCTTTTATTTTATTTGTGCTTTAGACGTAACGTATCGACACGATCAACTTTTTCTTGTCTAAAGCAAACATCTTTCGATAGGGATTTATTTTATCTGTAATATCTAATTGTGTTTTAGTAAATTTTTGTACCAGAAAGCATTGAAACAATCATAAAAATATTACATAACAATAACAATACATAAAATATTATACAATATCATCAATTGAACTGTTATGTATAAGGTGAAATTTTAATATGATATAGTTAATGAAGAATTAAGTTTTGTCTTTTTTTGTTCATTGGAAATAAACCAAAATTTTAATTTATCAATTATTCTCTTAACAATATCATACTATTTTATCATCTGGGAACGATTTACAGACTGGAAATTGAAACGTCAATAAACTTATTTTATACTTCAATTGTTCCTTATTCCCATTAAAATAGTAATTCCTTTAAAACGCCACAAGAACATAGCTTCAGAACAATATTATGTTGAATGTCTCATAAAATTAAACAGTTATTCTGTTAATGTTGCTTCTGTTTTCATGATATTCTAAGTATTTTTTTGTATTGTTTTTTAAAATATTTTCTTTTTGGGTGAGTTCTCTTTTTCAGTGTTTTTTTCGCTCCTAGTTCTATAACATGCCACTTGTTGCCATGCTTCCTCTTAAGTCTGCATTATGATTCTTTTCTTTCAGCAACTGAAATTTATTGCTTATGGCTAGTTGAGAATCCAGTTCTTTATTTGGTGTGTGAAGAGCTTTTATGTCCCATCTTTCACCTTGTTGTTGTTGTTCCAGCTTCTGGAATATTGAGATTCAACTTCCCATCTTAGATTTTACCAGAAAGTGATCACTATCGCTCTCTGTTCATCTCATATTTCACTAATTAATAACGCTACTAGAGTGTCTTGTGTCAATAAGGACATGATCTATTTGGCTACGTGTTGTTTCATTATTTAAAACCCAAGTGACCCCGTAAATGTCCTTTCTTCCAAATTTGGTGGATTTAACAATAATGTTATTAGATATTGCAAATTTTGCTAGCCGGTGTCTATATATATATATATATATATATATATATATATATATATATATATATATATATATATATAATATATATGAACAAAAATTTAGCATGCTAACAATTATTTATTTTTGATAAACTGTTACTTCTTCTAAATTTATATTTTTCGTATTGGATACACTGTCAATATTGTTAGTATATATCGTTGTTATGATTTTTTAATTATATAGCCATAAACTCAAAATTACAGACCAATACGCCTGTTATATTACATTATAGTATGAAATGACTTGAACGCTAAAACGAGGAGAAAGACGGATAAGACAGAAACACCACTGGCAAAATTTCGTATGGGAATCAGAAACATGCGCGACTAAACTTTACTGAGTTTTCCTAAACTAAAAAACTGGAAAAAAATCAATTTCAAATGAACATATCCAGAGATTTCAAAACAAAGTAATGAGAAACATTGTTGATGCTCCTTGGTATATCCGTAACAGCAACCTCCACCAGGACCTGGGTATGGAAACTGTGATCGAAATAATCAAAAAAACAGCAGAAAGTCACGAGCATAGGTTGCATAGTCATGTGAATGTCGAGGCAATCCAGCTTCTTGACAACACTGAACTAAAGACAAGACTCATAAGGACAAAACCATTTGAGCTAGTGTAAATGTGTAACAGTTTAGTGTAAAAAGCAGAGTATAGTGCTGTGAGCATCAACAATGTTTCTCAGTACTTTATTTTTGAAATCTCTGGATAATAAGTAGATTACTAGCTTTGGTACAGCCCCAGAGTTGGCACCCATATACCCATACTGGCTTGTAGATGGCATATACTCAGTACTTGCTTGTAGATGGATAATTTATTATGAATTGACAATGTTGAATTTTTTCCAATCAGCCAATACAATTTCTTATATCTAATATCAAGCTACCCTCTTTTCTTTTTGACATGGACTTTCCAGTGCAGCTTCGCGTCTAGGGTGATGCCCAAGTATTTTGCTGATGTTGCATAAGGAATTCGGGTATCATTTATTCTAACTGGGAAATTTTCTATTTTTTTATTTGTAAAGTTAATGTGTGCAGATTTAGTCTCATTTAATTTTATTTGCCATTTTCTGATCCAGTTATGTATTATATTTACTGACAGTTGCAATTTATCGGTAGCTTTTTTTTGAAATAATTTCAAATTTCAAACTATTTTTCAAATAGTTTTGACATCAACGGAAGGAGGGATATTGGTCGATAGGATGTCACTTCATTAGGCGATTTACCTGGTTTGGCCATCATACTTACTTCGGCTACTTTCCAGAGTCTGGGAACATATCTCAATCTAAAAGCAGCATTTGTTAGGTGTGTTAGCTTAACTATGGCTTTTCTTGGTAGATTTTTTAATAATTCTCCTGTTATGAGATCATATCCTGGAGCTTTCTTAGGATTTATATTCTCTTTTATCACTGTTGATACTTCTCTAAGTGATGTCAATGTTATTCTTTCGTCAGTTTGGAATGGTTCTTTCCATTCCTTTGAAACCTTTGGACCTTTGGAAAGCAAAGAACATGATGAACTTGGAGGAGATAAGTAAAAGAATACAAAAATCTATTTTTTATAGACAGCTTAGGAAAATATTAGTCAACCAAGGATCGAAATTGATAAAAATGAAATGAAAATAAAAAGAAATAAAGCGCCAGGAGTGGATAATATTGTTATAGAAGTTATGAAGATTGAAGAAGACAAAACTAAAAAAAAATGTAAAGAAATTGTTCAACATATTATGTCTGCATCAAAGTGAAACACCAACAAGATGGCACAGAGCACTTACCATTTCATTACACAAAAGGGCAATCCAACAGACCTTGAGAATTATAGAACCTGCTAAATCACCTCTACAAGTTATTTACAAGAATAATAACAAATATACTGAAAACGAAACTAGATTTTTACAAACCCAGGGAACAGGCAGGTTTTAGGAAAAACTTTAACACCAACGATTACCTTTACTGCATAAAAGGGATTATAGAATAATTCATTGAATTCAATCTACCATTGGTTCGAGATCTCGTAGGCTTTCGCAAAGTATTCGATTTCATAAAAATTAACAGCGTAATGGGAGCGTTGGAGGAAAGTCGTATAGACTATCACTACTCCAAACTAATTCCGAATATTTACAACAGTAATGCAACTATAATCGTAATAGTACATACGGATACAAAATATATAAGAGCCAAAAGAGGAATCAGGCAAGAAGACACGTTATCTCCCAAACTCTTTACGGTAGCTCTGGAACATGCTTTCAAAAAATTGAAGTGGAAAACCAAAGGATTCAATGTCAACGGTAAAATATTCTCCCACATACGATTTGCGGATGACATTGTTCTGATAACAGATAACTTTGAAAAGACTGGAACTATGCTTACTAAATTAGACGAATTCTGTAACGAATTATTTGGTTTTAAACATAAATTTTGGAAAAAACAAAATGTATGACAAATTTTGTACCAAGCTAAAATTCAAAAGTCCACTGCAAAAAAATAGAAACAACCAATCTTCTGCGATTTCTATGACCTAATCGTATTGAAAGACATTTGTCCTCCAATAATAACTGTTTTAAGGACAAATCAAAGGAATTCTTTGCTACAAAATTTGAAAATTTAAAACGCATGAAGTTGGATAGCACTGGTTCTATCATTCTATTGTAGGCAGTTTGTATCCACTTAGGACCTACGTGTTCCTTTAAATCGTCTGACCATCTTATTTGTGACCTTCTTATTTTTCGTTTGTAACTATATGGTGTCTAGTGTATAATCAGCTTATTCCATCTGTCGTCTTTCTGTCTTATGGTATCTCCAGCGAACTTCTACTTAAGCTTTGCTATCTGCGTTGATACATCGGTCACTTTTGTTTTGTTGCGGATCCAAGTATTTGTTTTCTTGTTTGATAGCCTAATGTTCAGCATTTGCCTTTCCATGGCTCTTTGTGTCTTTGCCATGTTTTCCATGTTTTCATTTGTAAACGTCCAAGTTTGAGAACCATAGATGAGAACATGAAGTATACATTGGTGGAAGACTCTTGTTTTTAAATATTGGGGGTATTTTCTATTTTTAAGTATATAGGAAAAATTTTCCGAAGGATACCCAAGCCAACCATATTATTCTCCTATTTTCTCCGGTCTGATTTTCTTTATTTAATATAACTAGCTTTGATAAATATATACATTATTTTATTTGATCTATAGTTGTTTGTGCAATTGTAACTATTAATTTGTCTGATTATTTGGTCGTCTGGATGGTAGTTCTATCATTAGCAGCTATTATCAAAAGAATAGACATATTACTCGAAAGACGCTTTTTAAATTGAGACATACAAGAACTAAGTAGTTGATGCAGTATAACAATCGTCATATTTTGATATTCAGCTAGACGAGAGTACAGACATAGCACAATGTCAATTGTTTATGTTTGGTATATTCAAAACCATTATTATTCAAAACGAAAGAACGAAAGACAAGCTGCTCTTTTCTACAGACTTGGAGACCAGGACAAAAGCTGTTGGTGTTATGAAAGCAGTGTTAGGCTTTTTTGACAAACATGAACTCTTTTTGGCAAAAACTGATAGATTTATGTACGGATGGCGCGAATTATGAATGTTCTTGGGAAAAACACTTTTTTAAAACTGAATTCACAATTAAAATTTTTATTTTCGACTTACAAAGATTATAGTAACAACAGCAATAAATTAAATCAGATTAAATTATAAATCAGACTGAAAATATTGATTTTTACATGGTGTTTTTATAATTTTATAATTGCTGATCTTGCAGTCCAATACATCGCAATTCAGTCCAAAATGATCGAGCGTTAGTCCCGTGTGGAATCCACGTGGTAGAATTTACTGGATGGTAGCGATCATTGTACTCTAACTCGCGTCATCAATGCTAGGT